CTGGTGTCTTTTGTTTTTCTCAAAGAGTCAAGGCTCTTAGAGCTTAAATATCTACTTTTTTTTTTCCCCATTTATTTATTTTATTGCATTTTAGGTTTTGGGGTACATGTGAAGAACATGCCAAATTGTTGCATAGGAACACACATGGCAGTGTGATTTGCTGCCTTCCTCCCCATCACCTACATCTGGCATTTCTCCCCCTGCTATCTCTCCGATAGTTTTGTTTTTATTGATGAAGAAACTAGATCACAAAAAAATCACAGATGTGATTTTTTTAAAAACGACTAGACTGCATTTTCTAACTTTTTGCTTAACATTCTTTTCTGAAGACAAGATTGTCTTTTTACACACGTGTTGCTCAGGATCTGAGGAGGACAGTTTGATTTGAGGGGGATTTAAAGTACTTTAGCCTGAGTATCTATTCTGTTAATGGTATAAAGCCTTATCTCTCACCCTCTTCACACAGAAACATCCTTACAGGCCCTTACTAGATTATTTACAAAATCAGCAGAGTGGTGTCTTCAGTATTGGTGATCTCCTTCTAGCTTTGGAGATCACTCCCAGGACAACCTTGCCTGGGTCACTCTGAAAAACAAATTACTCTCGATTATAATTATCCTTTTTCCAGGTAACTCAGCTGTACCATTCTATGTGTTTTAGCCTTATACAGCAAATCCAGTTTTAAAAATTGTTTTTTGTCTCAATTATGAAAGGAAAATTTGGAAAATGGAGGAATTAAGAAAATAATTATAATACTCAGAGATAACGATTCTAAATATTTCATGTCACCTTCTATATAAAAATATCACTGAAAATTTCCCATATCATTAAAAAAATTTTCCAGAAAACCTCCATCATTTCATTATAGTATAGTTTTATCATAATTAACCAATAGCTAATAATTGTGCCTTGTGAATTCTTTTTTTCCTTATTATGAGTAATTTATAAACATTCTTTTTCACACAAATCTTTAACCATATGTCTAGTTATTTCCCAAGAATTCAATCTTAGAAGAGAGACTGCTGGGCCAAGTAATGTTTGGAAAGGGGTTCCCAGGTGACATTCTTACTAGCATCATTTAAAAGTGCCCATTTCACCACAGTGTATATTCGTGGTGTGATGAACCTTTGCCAGCTTACTGAGAAATTGTATCTTATTTCTGTATAAGTAAATGGGAATGGTTTTTTTCAAAATCGCATCAGCTGTTTATAGTTATTTTTTGATTTATATTTCATGTTGTTTACGTTCCAGTCTCTTCTCAGTCCAGTGGCCAATGACTAGTTACACAATTTTTGGCATTTCTTTATGCTTTCTTTAATTTGCTGATGTGTTAAATGAGAACACTGGACTGTGCATTGTAGGAATAGTTGCAATTGGGGTTAACTTTTTATGGCTTTTGGGCCGTTCTTTTTTTCATTAGATAAATATTAAATCCCTGTTGTGAGCTAGGCATGATACCAGGTTTCCCACATATACCCTAAACAAGACAGACTGTTCTTCTGGAATTGACTGTCGTGGGGGAGACAAATAAATAATATTTGATATTATGATAGATGAAGGGTAGAGGTTCATTGGAGCATATGACAGGGTTGGCTAACCTGAGACACATTGAAAGAATGAAGATTAAACAGATCCATGCATGGCACAAAGAGCCGTCCTTATCAGGCAGTTTCTACTTTCTCATAACTCCAGGCCCTATGAATCTGATAATTATAGCAAGGACATTCTTACTGACTGTGGGACTTTGTGTATTTGTGTGTGTTATATTTTGGTTGAAGTTTTAGGTAAAATAGTTACTATTTTATTTGTTGCTTTCATTTCACCAGGTTTTTAATAATATGTGAGTTGAGCTATTTTTTATTTGAATGCTTCACAAGCAGACCTTCTCTCTCAGTAACATTCAGTTTTAAAAATCACTTTATTGCTACCTATATTTAGTTTTTATGTAGAAATCAACTCTGTTTAGGTGAGTGAATTGATAAATGTGCAAGTTATTTAGCATAGGAAAATAGCCATTGCCATTTATAGAGTTACAGTTTATTAGTTGATAGTTAATGCCCATGTGAAGTAGCTGGGGCAGCAAATATTATGCCAGCGGAAATTAAAGAAGAATGACTTGTAGAAAACTGCTTTTATGTAGTTGTATTAGTTAGAAGATAGGCTCATTATTCTAACAGAAAGGCCTCAAAAGATACAATGGCTCAAACACAATAAGAATGTTTGTCTTGCTTATATAATGGGTCTTAGCCAATAAACAAGCCACACAGTTATTCAGGGACCCAGGTTGATGGAGGATCTTTTGTCTTCGGTTCCAAGATTGCCATTTGTTGACTGTATTCCAGTCAGGTTGAAGGGGCAAAGAGCTGGGAGGAGCAGGTGCAGGACTGGACTGGTCCTGGAAATGATGAGAGTGACTTCCATTTATAATTAACTCTGTCAAAGGGTCACACCTAACTTCAGAGGAGGCAGGGGTATGTATGTAGTCTGCTTCTGGGTTCAGGAGAAAGAGGAGAGCAAAGATTTTGCAGAGTAGCTATTTGTCTCTGCCATAGAATTGTTAGATAGTTTACTGTAGATGGACTGTAAATAAATGTTTGTGTAGTTCTAACATTTGACTGATATTGGGTTGATCCTTTGAGACTTGGCATATTGTGGATATACCTAAAGTTTCTTATTCTACCAGAGGTGTGATATAATCTGTGTTGTTACAGAAGTAGGAGAGGGAAGGAAACTACCGTTAAAATTAGTACTTAGGAGCCCAGGCACCATACTAGATGTTTGCATATATTAATATGATTTCATTTTATCTTCACAGTGACCTAGAAGAAGTATTTAAATAATGATTTTCCAGATTAAAAAATGAGTTTTGATGGCTTCCCTCAGTTTCCATAATTAGTAGGGCTGATTTCTGAATCCTTTAAGTTGATCAGTTGACAGGAATGCATTTATGACTTTTGTCTTTTCTTTTGGGGTTATTTTTCAGTTTGACTTTGAAGGATCACTTTCCCCTGTCATTGCGCCCAAAAAAGCAAGGCCTTCTGAGACGGGATCTGACGATGTAAGCATTATTATTTCTTGCTAATATAAATTAATTTATGGATTCTCATACTAGCCTCTCACTTCTGTGGTATTCCTATCAATTCCTCTATCTTTCCAGTACCTTTCACTTTATTTATTTTAATACCGAATAATAATAATTTTGAAGAGTGGGATCTGTTACATTTTCTGTGGTCTTTAATGATTATCTTAACATTAATATGTGTATTGCTGCATGATTTCAGTTTAGATTTGTAGACATTTTATTACCAACTGATTACTTGAAGTGACAGCATTTATCTTTTTTATGCAGTGTTTTTTAAATTAAAGTTCTCAATCATATCAGGTTCCATGGTATATTCTTAAGTGGCCCAATATATTTTTTTAAATCGTGGTATAATTTACAAGAATTAAGTCCTCACATTTTAAATTTACAGTTTGATCAGTTAATGTATGCACACTCGTATAACCCACACTTCTTTAAAGACACAGAATATTTTCATAACTCCGTAAAATTTCCTTGTGCTGTTCTTAATCAGCTTTGTCCTCTTTTTCTAGCAATCACTGATCTGAATTCTGTCACCATATCTTAGTTATACCTGTTCTAGAACTTGATGTAAATGAAATAATATAGTATGTAATCTTTGATATAAGATTTCTTTTATTCAGCATAATGCTTTTGAGATTCATTCATATTGTTACAGATACCAGTAGTTTGTGTCTTTTTATTGCTAAGCAGTATGAATATACCGTAGTTTGTTTATCTGCCCTTCTGCTGGTAGATTATCTAGGCTATTTCTTTTTTTTTTTGGTCAGTCTTATGAATAAAGCAAGCTCTTACTATTTATTTCTTTTTTTTTTTGGTCAGTCTTATGAATAAAGCAAGCTCTTACTAACATTCACTGTCAAGTCTTTGTGGACATATATTTTCTTTTTTTTTTTTCCTTTTTTCTTTTTGAGTCAGAGTCTTGCTTGTCACCCAAGCTGGAGTGTGGTGGCATGATCTCGGCTCACTGCAGCCGCTGCCTCCCAAGTTCAGGCAATTCTCATGTCTCAGCCGCCACAGGAGCTGAAATTACAGGTGTGTGCCACCACACTTGGCTGATTTTTGTTTTTTTAGTAGACACGGGGTTTCACCATGTTGTCCAGGCTGGTTTTAAACTCTTGGCCTAAGTAATCTGCTCACCTTGGCCTTCCAAAGTGCTGGGGTTACAGGTGTGAGCCACCATGCCTGGCCTGTGGACGTGTATTTTCATTTCTTTTTTTTTTTTTGAGAGGGAGTCTTGCCTTGTCACCCAGGCTGGAGTGCAGTGGCGCAATCCCGGCTCAGTGCAACCCCTGCCTCCCAGTGATTGTCTTGCCTCAGCTTCCCGAGTAGCTAGGATTACAGACTCACACCACCACACCCAGCTAATTTTTGTATTTTTAGTAGAGATGGGGTTTCACCATGTTGGTCAGGTTGGTCTTGAACTTCTGACCTCATGATCTACCTGCCTCAGCCTCCCGAACTGCTGGAATTACAGGCATGAACCACCGTGCCTGGCCTCTTTGTTTTTTGTTTTTTAAGAGACATGGTCTTACTCTGTTGCCTAGGCTGGACTGCAGTGATGCTATCATAGGTCACTGTAACCTCGAGCTCCTCTAGGCTCAAGCCATCCTCCTACCTCAGCCTCTGAGTAGCTAGGACTACAGGTATGCACCATCATGCCTGTCTAATTTTTAAATTTTTTTGTTAGAGACAAGGTCTTAATATAATGTGTTGCTCAGGCTGGTCTCAAACTCCTGGGCTCAAGCAGTCCTCCTGCCGTTACCCCACAAGTGCTGCGATTACAGGTGGGAATATTAATTTCTTTTTCTTTCTTTTTTCTTTTTCTTTTTCTTTTTTTTTTTTTTTTGAGATGGAGTCTTGCTCTATCGCCAAGCTGGAGTGCAGTGGCACAATCTTGGCTCACTGCAACCTTTACCTCCTGGGTTCAAGTGATTCCCCTGCCTCAGCCTCCCCAGTAGCTGGGACTTCAGGTGCGTGCCACCATGCCCAGCTAATTTTTTGTATTTTAGTAGACATGGGGTTTCATCATGTTGGCCGGGATTGTCTCAGCCTCCTGACCTCATGATCTGCCTTCCTTGGCCTCTCAAAGTGCTGGGATTACAGGTTGAGCCACCATGCCTGGCCTTAATTTCCTTTAAATTAAAATTTATGCCTATAATTTTTAATTTGTTTTAATTTTTTAAAATTAAAATTCATGCCTATAATTTTTAATTTATTTTAATTTAATCTTTTAAATTAAAATTCACTGTAATCGCAGCATGTTTTGGGGTAGGGGCAGGAAGACTGCTTGAACTCAGGAGTTTGAGACCAGTCTGGGCAACATACTATAGTAAGATCTTGTCTCTACCAAAAAAATTTAAAAATTAGCCAGGCATGATGGCATATACCTCTAGTCCCAGCTACTTGGAGGCTGAGGTTGGAGGATGATAAGTACTCTTTCCTGTGCTCATTAGCTACTTACGTATCTTTTTGTGAAGTTTCCATTCAAGTCTTTACCTACTTTTTTTTTTTTTTTTTTTTTGAGATGGAGTCTTGCTCTATCGCCAAGCTGGAGTGCAGTGGCACAATCTTGGCTCACTGCAACCTTTACCTCCTGGGTTCAAGTGATTCCCCTGCCTCAGCCTCCCCAGTAGCTGGGACTACAGGTGCGTGCCACCATGCCTAGCAATTTTTTGTATTTTTAGTAGAGACGGGGTTTCACCATGTTGACCAGGATGGTCTCGATCTCTTGACCCTGTGATCCACCCACCTTGGCCTCCCAAAGTGCTGGGATTACAGGCTTGAGCCACCGCGCCCGGCCCCTTTACCTACTTTTTATTAGATTTTTAAAAGTATGTAAGCTGTTGAATTTCATGTACATGTTCTAGGCATGAGTTCTTGACCATATTTTCCCTTAGTATGTGGCTTAGCAGTGTCTTTGATGAGCAGAATTTTTTATTTTGGTTGTCCAGTTTATTAGTTTTTTCTTTTATGGTTAATTCTTTGTATCTAGTCCAAGAATTTTAAAGTCAGAATAACACACTGTATTAAGCCTTATAAAAACACCAGTAAATTCCAAGATCTGGAAATAGCATAAGCCACATTCTCTGAACCAAATGCAGTAAATCACAAGTAGAACCAAAATAGACTAAATATTTGGAAAATGTAGTACACAGTCTGAATATGAAAATCAGTTAATTATTAGATTATATTATTAGCCTTGGCATCTTATATATGTAGAAAGATGAATTCACCAGCTGAATGCAGGTGGACCTTCCCTCTTACCGAAACACAGCTCAGTGTAGTGGCCACTAACATGCCATCTGCTTTTCCTATAAAACCTAGCCTGAGATAATCTTAAATTTTCTCTCTCAATCTCTACCTAAATAGTAGAATCCTTCTCCCATTGTCTTTCCTAAAAGGACATGACAATATTTTTTTTTGAAATGGTTTTTAAAGGTGGCTTACCTTAATGTTTGTAACTGGCATCTGGAAATTGTGTGCTATTTTATAATTCCTTCATTCTTAGTATTTTTTTTTTTTTTAAATATATGCTCTTAGATCACCTTAATGTGAAAATGAAACTTGAATTGTTTCAAGTGAATTTTCTTTTCTAATGATATTTTACGGAGGTATTTTTAAAAATTAATATTCTTTTTATTCTTCTCAGGACTGGGAATATTTACTAAATTCAGACTACCACCAGAATGTTGAGTCTCATCTTTTGAACAGAGCCTTGTGTTTGAGTTCTTCAGAAGGTTCACGCATGAAGGATGAGGATTTTTCACAGAATCTCAGTCTGGATTCTTCTACACTTCTCTTTACTCACATACCTGCAATTTTTTTCGTTCTTCACCTGGTGTATGAGGAGCTTAAGTTGAATACTCTAATGGGAGAAGGAATTTGTTCACTTGTTGAGCTTCTTGTTCAGTTGGCAAGGTAAATTTGTTTGTAGGTTAGAAACTGCCAGGAAGTCCTTAGATGACTATCTTTTCCATGATATCATATAGAGACCTTGTAAATAAATTTCTGAAGTCTACCTTCTCAGAAAACTAGGGCATCTCCTGTAAACCACAGAGTTGTTTGAAGATACTGGTTATGTAAGGGCCTGTGGGCCTTGCAGGGATTTTTAGTGTTTGTCCTGAGATTAGTTGAAGGTCACGAAAAGATAGAGATGACCTACTCAGATTTTCTTTTTCTTTTTTTTTTTTCTTTTTTTGAGACGGAGTTTCGCTGTTGTTACCCAGGCTAGAGTGCAATGGCGCGATCTCGGCTCACCGCAACCTCCGTCTCCTGGGTTCAGGCAATTCTCCTGCCTCAGCCCCCTGAGTCGCTGGGATTACAGGCACGCGCCACCATGCCCAGCTAATTTTTTTCTGTATTTTTAGTAGAGACGGGGTTTCACCATGTTGACCAGGATGGTCTCGATCTCTTGACCTCGTGATCCACCCACCTCACCCTCCCAAAGTGCTGGGATTACAGGCTTGAGCCACCGCGCCCGGCCTATAGATTTTCATTTTGACAGGATGACTGGCTAGATTGTGGTGGGAGTTCTAGAATAATATCTGCTGTTTTATAAGAATACCCACATTCAAATAGTGCTTTATAGTTGACAAAATCATAGTTTACATATAAAGTCTCAAGGTAAGATTCCTATTTTAATGATGAGGATACTTGCCTAAATTTGTTTCTAAGAATGTGGGTATTCGATAGTTGTAGACTCATTTTGCTGTGCTGTCCTTGTTGCAATCTGAGGTCGTCCCTGTCTTTGAGGCACTCATAGTAGATCCACAATAAGGTAGTTCTAATATGTCTCAACACCTTTTAATGCTTTTGAAGGATCTTGTTTATGGCTCTGAATTCTAGGGTCATACTAACGTTGTTTGAGCCTTTATGACCTTTGGTGATAAAGAAGTTGAATTTGAACTGAAATGTCAACCTCTGAGTTAAAACATAGTATATTTTCTCATTTCTGTTATCTTTTTCGAGATCTTGAAATTCAATCCTGAGACATGGCAATTTTAATTAATGGTAAATTTCACTTAGGATGTCATTACTATCATGAAAATTCTTTTGCAGTTAAGTAATTTTCAAACATAATCATGGCTTTCTGAAATAAGTAACATGATATTTTATGTTTTATCAGGTTTTTTTTTTTTTTTTTTTTTAATATACTTTATCTTATTTAGTCTTTTTTTGTCAGAGAGGGGGGACTCTCTGTCACCCAGGCTGGAGTGCAGTGGCTAGACCTCGGCTCACTGCAACCTCCGCCTCCCGGTTTAAGCAATTTTCCGCCTCAGCCTCCCGAGTAGCTGGGACTATAGGTGTCCGCCATCACGCCTGGCTAATTTTTTATATTTTTAGTAGAGACGGGGATTTCACCATCTTGGCCAGGCTGGTCTTGAACTCCTGACCTCATGATCTGCCCGCCTTGGCCTCCCAAAGTGCTGGGATTACAGAGGTGAGCCACCGTGTCCAGCCTATCTTATTTAATCTTTAAAACTTCAGAGTAAGTTAGCTGGTATTGCCCCATTTTCTAGAAGAAAATACTGAGGTTTATAGACATGACTTACTGAAGATCACACAGCTAATAAATAGCGGAGGAAGACCTAGCTCACGGTGCTTTTACTCTAGTTTTACCTCTGCAAAATTTAGCAAAAAGAGATTGGGTTGCATTTGTCACTCTGGGCACTTTCAAGTCCAAAAATACCATAAAGACACTCTAGATTTGGTTATCTTCTTTCTCATAAATAAGTTTTTAAATTGAAAGATTCAACTAATGAATCCTTCCAACTCTGCTGGGAGAAAGTGCTATAATACCTTATTTTTTATATGCTCTTACTGTTTTAGGGACTTAAAATTGGGACCTTATGTAGATCATTACTACAGAGACTACCCAACGCTTGTCAGAACTACTGGACAAGTGTGCACAATTGATCCAGGTAAGTCGTCGTGCTTTTAAAGATTTTCTGAACAGTGTGGTGACATTTGCTTGTATCTTTCTCAGTGAAGAGCAGAGGATGTATTTCTTACCATTGTCTTCTAAGTCAGGGGCATTGTTTTTCCACCAGGCAGATTTTAGTTTGTAATGCTTGTTTTCCGACACATAGTAAGCCATAATATCTTCAGTGTATAGTGAAAATTTTACTCATCCCTAAGGTTCAGACTTGCAAAAGTTTAGAAAGAGCTTCCAGTGCCAAGGATGCTTTTAACCTAGACTTGTACTGTCCAGTTAGTAGCCACTAGCCATATGCTACTTAAACTCAATTAAAATGAAACATGTATTTCCTCAGTGCACTAGCCGCATTTTGAGAGCTCAGTAGCCACATGGGGCTAGTGCCACCACATTGCACAGTGCAGATCCAGATACAGAACATTTCCGTCACCACTGTACTGTCCTAGACCCTGAGCTAAAGGAACTGAAAGTTGGGGCCCAGGCAAAAAATTTTGGTTAGGTTTTTTTTTTAAATTTTGGTTAGGTTTTTTTTTTTTTTTTGATGCCGGGCCTCTCACTCTGTTGCCCAGACCGGAGTGTAGTGTTATGATCTCGGCTCACCGCATCCTCCAGCTCCCATGCTCAAATGCTTCAGCCTCCTGAGTATCTGGGATTACAGGCGTGTGCCACATGCCCGGCTCATTTTTGTATTTTTAGTAATGATGAGGTTTTACCACGTTGGCCAGACTGGTCTCGAACTCCTGACCTCAATTGACCCACCTGCCTTGGCCTCCCAAAGGGCTGGGATTACAGGTGTTAGCCACTGGGCCTGGCCTTTGGTTAGATTCTTTATATCCCTTAGGAAAATAATTTGCTAAAATTCCATCCAGGATGGGATAAATAGAAGTCATTTATATTTTACGTTTAATAACATAGTCACTTATTTACTGTGGCAGAAAACACGAAGCATTTTGGAGGATATGAGAAAATGTTATTCTAATTGTTTCAAAATGACAGGTAACTGTGGATCATCTTCCTTTTAAAATATTGTTGTATTAATGTATTTTTGTATCTGTTTATCTAATTTTAAAGGTCAAATGGGATTTATGCATCATCCATCATTTTTTACTTCTGAGCCACCAAGTATTTATCAGTGGGTGAGCTCTTGTCTGAAGGGTGAAGGAATGCCACCTTATCCTTACCTCCCTGGAATCTGTGAAAGAAGCAGACTAGTAGTCTTGGTATGTATGTGGAGTGTTACTACCTATCTTCTTTTCTTTTAAAATTTAGTTTTAAAAATTATACCTGCCGGGCGCGGTGGCTCAAGCCTGTAATCCCAGCACTTTGGGAGGCCGAGGCGGGTGGATCACGAGGTTGGGAGATCGAGACCATCCTCGTCAACATGGTGAAACCCCGTCTCTACTAAAACTACAAAAAATTAGCTGGGCATGGTGGCGCGTGCCTGTAATCCCAGCTACTCAGGAAGCTGAGGCAGGAGAATTGCCTGAACCCAGGAGGCGGAGGTTGCGGTGAGCCGAGATCACGCCATTGCACTCCAGCCTGGGTAACAAGAGCGAAACTCCGTCTCAAAAAAAAAAAAAAAAGTATACCTAAGGTTAAGTTTTTCTTTCTGTGTATAGTTCTGTGAATTTCAGTATGTGTATAGATTCATGTAATTACTACAATTAGGTTATGGAACATTTATATTACCCTCAAAAATTTCTCTTATGATTTTGAGATAAATCCAAGTTGTTTCCTGTATCAACAGTTCATTGCATTCTATGGCTGATGAGTAGTTTATTGCATGAATGTGCCATAGTTGGTTTTTCATTCAAGATAATTGGGTTGATCACCGAAGTGGGAGCAGCCAAAATGAAGTTCAGTTCCTTTGTGACTTCCAACTGATGCAAGAATCGCAAAAGGCATTTCAGTGCACCTTCCCACATTCGCAGGAAGATTATGTCCTCCCCTGTTTCCAGAGAGCTGAGACGGAAGTACAATGTGCGATCCATGCCCATCCGAAAGGATGATGAAGTTCAGGTTGTACGAGGACACTATAAAGGTCAGCCGATTGGCAAAGTAGTCCAGGTTTGCAGGAAGAAATATGTAATCTACACTGAACAGGTGCAGCGGGAAAAGGCTAATGGCACAACTGTCCACGTAGGCATTCACCCCAGCAAGGTGGTTATCACTAGGCAAAAACTGGACAAAGGCAGCAAAAAGATCCTTGAACGGAAAGCCAAATCTCGCCAAGTAGGAAAGGAAAGGGGCAAATACAAGGAAGAAACAATTGAGAAGATGCAGGAATAAAGTAATCTTATATACAAGCTTTGATTAAAACTTGAAATGAGGAAAAAAAAAAAAGGATGATTGGGTTGATTCCAGTTTTTAGCAATTGTAAATACAGATGCTCTCAGCATTCATGTTCAGGCTTTTATGTGAATATAAGTTTTTCTTTCTCTAGGGCAGGTACCTAGGAGTAGGATTGATGGGTCATTAAGTTTGTATTTTGTTTTTAAAGAAACTTGGCTGTTTTCCAGAGTGGCTCTTCCATTTTACATTTTTACCAGCAATATTTAAGAGATCATTTGCCTGCATTGTCAATATTTGGTATTGTCACTATTTTTTATTTTTATCTTTTTGAGAATTGTGTAGTTATACCTCATTGTGGTTTTAATTTACATTTTCCTAATGGCTAATGATGTTTTGAGGGTTCTAGATAGGAGGTTTTGTCAGACAGGTAGTTTGTAGATATTTTCTTCTAGTTTCTACCTTGTCTTGTCTCGTCATTCTCTTAATGTGTCAAAGAGTGACACTGTTTAATTTTGATGAAGCTAGTTTATCAGTATTTTTCTTTAGTGGATGTTGCTTTTAGTGTCATGTCAAAGAATTCTTTGTTTAACTTTAGGTTTTGAAGATTTTCTCCTGGGTTTCTTTGTGTGTTTTACATTTAGATCTCTAATCCATTTTGTTAATTTTTTATAATATGTCAGGTTTTAGGTCAAGGTTTTTATTATTTCATTGGATATCCAGTTCTTCCAGCTCTATTTTTTGAACAGAGTATCATTTCTCTATTGTGTTTGCACTTTTGTCAAAAGTCAATTTGGCCATATTCTTGTGTCTATTTCTGGACTTTCTATTCTGGTTTATTAATCTTTGTGGCTGTCTATACTGTAATTACTATAGCTTTATAGTAAGTCTTAAAACTGATTAACATTACTCCTTCCTTCATTACTCTTCTTGCTTTTTCATACTGATTTTATTTTTATTTTTTGAGACTGAGTCTCGCTGTGTCACGTAGGCTAGATAGAGTACAGTGGCATGATCTCAGCTCACTGCAACATCTACCTTCTGAGTTCAAGTGATTCTCCTGCCTCAGCCTCCCAAATAGCTGGGATTATAGAACCCTGGCACCATGCTTGGCTAATTTTTTGTATTTTTAATAGGTATGGGGTTTCACCATGTTGGCCAGGCTAGTCTCGAACTCCCCACCTCAGCCTCCCAAAGGGCTGGGATTCCAGGTGTGAGCCACCACCCCTGGCCCATACTGATTTTATAAACATTTTGTCTATAGCTACAAAAAAAATCCTGCTGAAATTTTTTTCAAAGAAACACATCTTTATTTTTATTATTTTTGTTCACCTTTACCTTGATCTGAAAATTTCATGATTTATTAATTTTTAGATATTAGTTAATACATGCCCAACATCAAACTTCATATAGAACCAAAGGGCTGTCACAGTTGATAAGGCATGTTTCTTGGCACACCTGTTCTTCAGTCTCCCCATCCTGGAGCAGCCTGCTCATGTCTTCCCAGACTTGCAGGAGAACCATATGCTTTTGCTCCTTCTCTCAAATGTTGGTAGATTGTAAATGTCTTTGTCCCCTGCCCTTCTTTTTCTTTACTCTGTGTTTTGCTCTGCTTCATGGTGAGAAGTGCTTCAGAGCCCTCTATCACTCCCAAACAGACATATAGAATGGTGATTCTGTTTAAAAAATACAGATATTTTACTGATAGCAAAATATATATAACATAATATTTCTCATTTAAATTATTGTTATTATTTTTTGAGATGGAGTCACTCTGTCACCCAGGTTGGAATGCAGCGGCACCATCTCAGCTCACTGTACCCTTCGCTGCCACCTGGGTTCAAGTGATTCTCCTGCCTCAGCTTCCTGAGTAGCCGGGATTACAAGTGTGAGCCATCACATCTGGCTAATTTTTCTATTTCTAGTAGAAACGGGGTTTCACCATGTTGGCTGAGCTGGTCTTGAACTCCTGACCTCAGGTGATCCGCCTGCCTTGGCCTCTCAAAGTCTTGGGATTACAGCTATGAACCACTGCACCCAGCCTGAAATTATTATTATTTTTTTTTTTTTGAGACAGAGTTTCGCTCTTGTTACCCAGGCTGGAGTGCAATGGCGCGATCTTGGCTCACCGCAACCTCCGCCTCCTGGGT